GAATGTGGATGAAATGCGACTTTTAGTGGGAGAATGTTAACAGTTTCGCCAATAAACGAGAATTCCTCAAAATTGTGGCGCGCAGCCTGTCAGGGGCGGAGCCTCAGCCTCGCGTGGCGCACGCGTGACTGTGCACTGCCCGCGCGTGACCCTCGTGTGCACACCCGGGCGTCCCACCGCCTGGCTCTCGGAGCAGAAAGCCTCCAGCCAGCCGACAGGCAGATTTGTTCTTAAGGATATTATTGAAACATAGTGGTTTTCAAATGTTTGGGAACTGCGTGACATCCATTTGTAAATATCCAGAGGGCTCCTGAGGGTTCCTCAGCCTCTTAAGTGCTGCAATTAGAATAGGGGTCAATATTTATAATCCGTTGATTTGGCGGATGTCGATTTTCTTCTAGCTCAGGGTTGGAAAGGGCAGATAAATACATCTGCCCGTTTCTCCTTTAAACCTGGGTAGTGCCAGCGCACCTTCTGACAAAAGTATACTCAACTCCAAGAGGCTTGTGTGCAGGGGGTGTAGCTCAGTGGTAGAGCGCGCGCTTAGCATGCGCGAGGCCCTGGGTTCGATCCCCAGCACCTCCAATCGCCGTGACTACCGTGGTATCCCTATTGGGTTCCCTTGTGGATGTAGAAATTTTAGAGACGTGGAGGGGGCAGCAGCAGTCTGAAGGACCCTGGGTCAGGGAATCTAACACATGTTTTTCAAGAAAATGCCAGGTTTTTCTTTTCTTTTTTATACTTTAGTAAGAAAATACCAAGACTTTAATTTTTTCTTATAAAGATAGCCCTGCTTAGTGGGTGAGAGAAGAGGAGGACATACACAGCTCTCGTGTGTCAAGGAGATTTACCTGCTTCTGGCTGCAAACCAGAATGAGGAGGAAGTGAGATGAAGGAGGCAAAGGCATAATGCTTTTATCTCCACGGCAGTACAATGCTAAATAAACAAGAATGAAGTGGATTTAATTAACGCTGAGCATTCCCACAGGGAAAGACAAGAGGACCTTAAAGTGACCAACAGTAGTTCTTTTTACAGTACAAGTCCCATTAGGTCGAGCCTCTCGCTCCTTTCGCTGGTAGACCAAGCTGGAACCACAGGGTGGGCAAGGAGTACTTCTGCCCAAGTCCACAGAGACAAGAAGCGGGCAAAGTCCTGCGAGGGCAGTCAGGCTGGCTATGATGAGGCCCCTACCTGCAGCAGTGTCTCATGTGGAAGTGACTCTGCCCGCGAGTCGAGACGTGGGGTAATGACCTGGAGGAGGAGCGGGGATGAAAAAGACAGGGCAAGAGACACAAGAGACGGCGACAAGACAGGCTTTCTGATCAAGTCTCGTTTATTGAGGAAGTGAGCAGGGTCTAAATAGCCGTATAGTGGAAGCAGTTGGGTGGGACTAGTTGTGGATTGGTAGTGGAGGTCCAGGAGCACAGGAAGATGTCGAGGCAAGCAGGGATTGGTGCTGCAGCACTTCTTGCCCAAATAAGGGAAAATATAACAGGAGCATTCTATCACCCCCCCCCCACATGGAAGTTGACAACACACTGTGCGTTAGTCCTCTGTACAGAAATGGCAAAAGGCTCAAAAGGATGAAAGGTGAAGGCAACTAGGCGCTGCACTGTGTGGTTGATGGGGCAGCCCAGCAAGCCGGCCTGGATCTCAAACTTGAGCGGCCCAGAGTCCCAGGCATAGAACCTGATAGGGTGGTCTCCACAGGTCTTGGGTCACTCCATGACTGACACCCACTTGTCATCATAGCTGAAGAGGGACAAGTCCAGGTAGGGGCTGCCGCTGTAAGACTGGGCATTGATGGGGAGCTGAGCCAGCAGTTGGTGCACTGACTCCGTGTGCCCGCCATACTTGGCATTTATAATCGTGTCTTTGAACCAGTGCTGGATCTGCCTTGCAAAGTTGTTGTTAGAGGCTGAGCATGGAAACTGGGCTTCCCTGTGCAGAGTAGCGTTGCGGAACAGGTCGCAGAAGTTCTCAAAGAGCTCCAAATGCTCATCCGATGTATTGTCAAACACAGCGATCACCTCAGTTGTCACCATATTGTACACCACAAAGAAAGAAGCCTGAGATGGATCTGTGACCCGCAGCGTGACCACACCCTCACTGGTGTACTTGATGAAGAGATGGTTTTCGTCCAGAAGCTGCATCTTCCACATGCGCAGCTGCCGCAGCTGGTCAAAGCATTGAGAGAAACGCCTCTTGGCCATTGCGCTGCCATCCTGTTCCGCCCGGCGCCATAGGTAAACCAGCAGCCGGTGTTTCAGGGAGTTGATGAATGGACCCCTGAAAGGGTTGGCCGTGCCTGTCTGACTGTCCCGCTGTACCTCAGGGAAGACAGCCAACACAGTGAGCAGGTCATCCTCATAGCAGAAGTGGCTGATGGTCCGCACATCAATGAAAGTGCCTTCAGAGGTCACATAAGAAACAAGGTGGCTTTTCAACGTTGACAACTGTGAGGTTGGGGAAGACATTCTGGTGAAACACTCGGACTTGGAGCCAGTGGGTACCTGCCTTGCCTGAACTGATGCGCCGACGTTCCAGGCGGTGAATGACATTCTGGTTTTGGATTCTTCAAGGTTTGATGGTGGAAACATGGTGATCCATGATCACATTTAGTTATTGGAGGTTTCAGTCCGTACTCAGCTGGCTCTAAGGCAGACTGGCATGCGGCAGAGGGCAACGTTTCATGGCAGCAGCAGAGAGCAGAGCGCAAAACAGAGTAGTAACAGCAACAGTGGCACCAGAGAGCAAGTCTGTCTCTCTGCCCTTCATTTCTTGGTACTTGTTTATTCACCACTTTTACAGTCTCGCTTTGTAGTTCAGGCTGGCCTCAAATTCAGATCTTCCTGCTTCCACCTCCCCGGTGTTGAAATTCTCCTTTTGCGCCGCTACACCAGGCTCTCAGTGTAATTGGATTTTTCATTTACATGAAGTAGATGCACCAAAATGGTTCCGCTTACATCTGCTAAACGTGTGACCAACACGAGGCTCCCGAGCACTCCCTGAGCTTCATCCAAACCTAAGGACCAGGTCTCAGTCTCAGGACCTTTCTGTCCCTTGTTCTTCCATGCGCGCATGTGTGCTGACCAGTTCTCCCCCTCCTGGTCACATCAGTGAACCCCGCGGTGAGCGCAGCTGGGAAGCACTCGGCTCCCGAGGCCGGGCCGGGCGGGGCCCAGGCATGGTCCAGCCAGGCCTGGGGGAGATGGGACGGGGCACCTCCCTCCACCCAGTGCTCAGTCCTGTTCCTGAGGGCCTGGAGGGTCGTGTCCTTGGGCTTCTCCTTCAAGGACTCCTCTTAACACCAGCCCGGGCACACCGGGGTGGTGAGGGTGGTGATGGTGGTGGCAGTGGCTGTCCTTTCAGACCTCACAGCATGTATTGCTTGGAACATGGTATGTTGGACTCCACCTTTTAAAACAGATTAGAAGGGGCCGGGGAGATAGCTCAGTAGAATGAGTGTTTGCCTGGCCAGCACAAGGTCCTGAGTTCAATCCCAGGTACTGCTAAATAGATAAACAGAACAGGTTAGATCCAGTGCTTTGCTGCTGGTAGCAGCTCTTTCTTCCCACTGCTCTGTTGCACAATTCGATGCATCATGATGCACAAATTGGTTATACCATGGAGGGCCACGGAAGGCGTTCCTAAGCTTTTGCTCCAACGAATGTTCCACCAGCCCTGCCCATGCAGTCTCTCAAGGGACCCTCAAGCCTTACTTTGGAGCCTAAGCATAGCTGTGAAGTGTCACAGCACCGGCTTCCCCCTGTATTGTGGCCTTCTCTTGGTGTAGACACAGATCTTGGTCAGCAGCACGCAGAGTTCTTGCTGCTGCGAACACTCAGGGACCCTCCATGGTGCCAGTCTGAGGTTCAGCTATGTGGGTGAAGAGTAGGATCACTTCACGGGGCTTTTGTCTGAATGTCATGGGTGCAAAGGGACGTCAAGCAGTCTGTATTGCTTGACAAGTTGTTTGGGCATCCTCTTTTCGGAAGTGCATGTTAACTTATTTGCTTAGTTAGTTTTTAGGGTTTTTCTCAGTGCTTGTAGGAATCTCTAATGTATTTGAGCTAAGAGTCCTTGGTGCATGTCTCAAATCAGGGCAGCTCTCAGTGAAACTGGGAGAAATGGAAAGAGGATTCAGAAGTAAAGAAAGGAAAGCTGAGGTCGGGTGGAGTCCTCTCTCCTCGGGGGAAGAGAGGAGCTGCACTTGTTTATACGCTCAGGAGGTTGAGTTCAACTTTACCTCTCTGCCTAGCGACCTGTCTGTGAGCTGGGACAGCCTGTTTACTCCAGGAGTGCCCTGCATCCTTGGCCAGCCCACCTCTTCCAAGTTGGGTCTCAGCTCAGGCTCAGATTCCTGAGTGGAGCCCATATTTTAGGGGCTAGGCGAGTGGTGGGTGCTGTGGAGTGAAACGAAATCAGAAGTTAAACTGTGCTAGCCCTCCCCAAGTGGAAGTTTTGATACTCAGAAGGACACTTGAAGAGAACCACCAATACTCAATTAGCCGAAGTAGCTCAGCTGGGAGAACATTAGAGTGAAAATCTAAAGGTCCCTGGTTCGAGCCCAGGTTTCAGCAGGTTCTTGTTGTCTTTTGTGTAAATCACTGAATATCACCTCTCCTTATTTGTCTGAATATTTAATGTGAAGCCCTGGTTCAACTCTCTGTATTCCTAGTCTTTACATTTTTCTGGCTCACTGTTCACACGGAACTTGCCCAGGCGGTCCAAGCGAGTAACAGCCAAGCGAGCTATTTCTCTTGTGGCTGTGGTGTGGGTGTGCACCTGTGTGCACGTGTGTGTGCACGTATGGGAGTGTGTGCTGTCTCAGAGCCTCCTGTTTATTTTTTTGTAGCAGCCACCCCTCCACCCAAGACAACTAAAGCAGCAGCTGAGGAAAAGAGAGGGCAGGAGACCCGGGCTCTGTCCGCATCCCTGCGCATTGGTGTCATTCCGCAAGCTCCGCCTAGTCCTAAGCACAGAGATTTCCTTGCATTTTTCCCTAAAAGTTTTCTAGCTTCACACTTACATCACTGATCCATCGTAAGTAAATGCTGTGTAAGACCTGGGCTTTCCCTCTCTCTTTCTTCCTCACTTTCTACCTGCAGCCACTCAACTTCAAACGCCTTTTGCTGAAAAGTTTATTTTCCTCTATGAAATTGTTTCTGTAACTTTGCAAAAAACAAGACAAGACAAAACAAAACACCCAGAGTCTTCACCTGGGTTTTTTTTTTCTCTCTCTCTACTCTGTTAACCTCTCTCCCGTTACTACAAAGTGTTAAGGACTCAGGCAATTCTTCAAATCGTGTAGCTGATTCTTCAAGTGCTTTTGTAAATTAAGGCATATTAGTTATATAGATCAATGGGTCTCCTTTTGGCAGATACGTGCCTAACCACATTCTTGATTATTTTAAGCTTTTCTAATTCTTCAACTTTGTCGAATTTGGAATAATTTTGTACATCTACAGAATGTCCTGTTGACTTTGGGTAGGAATTTCATCAACGCTGTGCATCAGTTTGGAAGGAGGTCTTGGTCCTATTGAACCTGGCAAACTGGGAACACAGTGTGATCACTTGTGAAGATAACCTCAGACTCGTATTCTGTTTTTCAGATTCTAAGTCTTTATTATACACCTAAGCGTCCTGTGTGGTCACACACACTCCTGTAATCCCAACACTGGGGAGGCTGAGGCAGGAGGATGCTTGTGAGTTCAAGGCCAGCCTGGGATACACAGTGAGACCCTGTCTGGAGAAAAGCACTCAAAAAGGTGTCGCCCCTCAGCACCTTTGAACCTTTTGTCAGGCGGTGTCATCTCGCTTCTGCAGCTCTGGGTCCCTGGGCATGGTGGGCATGAGCTAGACCACCGTTTCTTTCTGTAAGTTTACAGTGTGAGTCTTAGGTTTAAGGGCATCATGCATTTCTGTTGCTGTTTGCGCCCGGATGCTGGATTCGTGTCCCACGTGGATCCGCAGTCCTCAGTGGCACCCGCAGGACCGCTGAGCCCGCGGGCACCTGTGTCCTCCAGGGGACGCCTCTGCGGGAAGACCCCTCTTCTTCTGCCCAGGGTGGATTTCTCCTCGAGCGAGCGAGGTTCGGAGAGATCTGGCTTCGGGGTTTCAAGGTCAGAGCACGAGCCCAGGGGCCGGCCGCACCCTCCTGCCGCACCGCAAGCGCGCGAGCGCGGCACCCTCCGCCCGGGGGCCTCCCTGACCTCCCTCCCGCTGCCCGAAGCGCGTCAAATCCCGAGCCTGACCCTAAGCCCAGCCCGGACCCCGTCGCTGACCTCTAGCCCTCACCCCGCGGTGCAACCAGCCCGCGGTTTTTGAGGTTTTTTTTTTAGGGGGGGGTGGAGGGGGGAGACAGATGTGATATTTTTTCTGGTGCGGACGACGAGCAGGCTGTGATGCGGCGCTCCATCACTCACTCAAAGTGTGTATGTATATACGCATGTATGTATGTATGTATGTATGTTTGAGACAGGGTCTCGCCGTGGAGTTCAGATCAGCCTTGAATCTATGTAGCCCAGGCTGGCCTCGAATCCCTGGCCGTCCTCCTGCGTCAGCCTTCCGAGGGCCGGGGTTCCAGGTCTGCAGCCCAGGTCCCGCTCAGCTTCATCTTTAGACCGCATTTTCGCTCAGTACTACACGAGGGCCAAGCAGGCCCGCACGAGGGGGTGTAGCTCAGTGGTAGAGCGCGCGCTTAGCATGCGCGAGGCCCTGGGTTCGATCCCCAGCACCTCCAGAGGTGAGGATTTTATTTGGCAGCTTCCCCGCGTAGAACTAGAGCCGAAGTTTCTGCGTCGGTTTTCTCTCCCGCCCCTCCCTCGGCGCCTGCGCCGTCCCTTCCACGCTCCGCATCAGCCTTTTTGCCGCGGCTCTGCTAGGCGGGTTTGGATCTGCGTTTCTCAGGATGACTGCCGGGCATGTTAGTGTTTCTTGTTTCTTCCTGCGCCAGCAACAGCCGTTGCAGGCGCGCGGCCCGTGCGTGATCGCGGGAATCCACAACAACGCGCCGGGTCAGGGGCGGGAGGGCCCGGGGAGCTGCCCGCGCGGACCGAGGGGAAAGCAAGCTCGTCTTCCGCGCGAGAAGACTCAGCCGCGGCCGCGGGCCGTGCTCCCCGCCGACGCTTGGGGCGGGAAGTTGACCATTTCCAAAGCGCCCGCTCCCCACGCAATAAGCGCAAAATGTAGCTCGAGGCCCCGCGGAGAACTGCACCCGACGCGCGGCTTTCGTCGCTCGCTCCGGGGTAGGCTTCTCTCCTGCGGTCATCCTGACTGTAGGCGTATGGCTTCGCCTGTCTCCTGCCGGGTAACAAAGCTACGGGTGTAGGGAGAACGACCCTGCCTCCTCCACTGATACAAGGAGAAGGAGCCAGCAAATGAAAAAGTGGAGGAGCCGGGGTTTGAACCCGGGACCTCGTACATGCGAAGCACGCGCTCTACCACTGAGCTACACCCCCTACCGCAGAAAGAAGTGGTGAAAGTCCTATCTAAGGTAGTTTCCCTTTAGGTTTCACTCATTTTGTAGGCTGCAGGAAGGTCCCTGGGATGCTGACGGGGGTCCTAAGGAAGCCGTGTCTGATCGCGAGAGAAAAATCATAACTTCCCCCCGAAAGCCCGCAGTCAGAGGAGGCGCCAGCTGGTCGCACCGCGGGGTGAGGGTTAGAGATTAGGGATGGGGTCCCGGCTAGGGCTAGGGCCAGGTTCAGGATTTGGGGTCACGCCGTACCCTCAGCCGTGGACACAGCCGCCCTGGCTCGGAGAGACCCGCCTTCTCCAGTCTGGGATTGGGCAGGTCCTCCAGCAAGGGCATCCAGGGAGCGCGTCCCGGGCGCTGCGGCCGAGCGCGGCCGGCAAGCTCACGAGCCCTGCGGCTCACCGTGCCTCTCGGCAGTGGTAGAAGTGGCTTAAATTAACGGCTTAAGTAAATGCTGCACCTAAGTATGCGCTGGTGCAGGCCCGGGGAAGAGAAGGCCCGCAATTGCGACTTCTTTGTCCCAGCTCTGGAAGAATTTGCTAGAGGAAGTGAGTTCGTGAGCTTGTGACTCCGAGCGAGGCTGCAGGATGAGGAATCAATTTCGACATAAACCGCAGACCTGTCACAGAGGACCGGATCCCTGACTACAATCTAGACCTTCAGAGCTGTTCCAACTGGAATAATCCGGCCATACGACTGCTTTCACAGACTAATAATTTCCTCCTCTTTGTAAACTGGAAATCAGTCGCCCCTGAGAGACAGGTGATATTATTGTAGTAAACAGCACTGACGGAAGGAAAAGAAAGGCGACCTGGCGTTGGGATGCCCTGGACACTCGCCCGGACCTGCCTTGTTTTCTCACCCAGCCACGTGGGTGGAAGCTCCAGCGAAGGTCCTGCGGCTACGATCGTCCTGTTCCGGGACCTGATCCCTGGCAGGAAAAAAGTCTGTACGTTTGTCTTCACTGTTTCCGAAAACCCTAGGCTCTGTCGTCTTCTCAGCGCTGCCAAGAGACGGAGAATAGGACTGCAAGGGAAGGCACCCGGCCATTCCCGCTTCCGCTCGAGAGAGCCGACGGCCGCCAGCGCCGCAGACCCTGAACCGACAGGCGGGCGCGGTGGAAATGCAGTCCCCAGCCGTCCTCTCTCAGCTCCGCCACGCTGTGGAGGACGCAGTGTCCAGCGTCTGGGCGTGCGGTGCTCCGTGCCGCACTATCTCTACCACCCACAGTTCCCTGGGGTAACATTTGGGGTAGCACCTGACTGGCGCCTCTTCTCCCAGGTGAGGGTGGGATTGTTGGCTGCTTTGTACTAGCTAGCAGCCGGCTGGAGCAAAGGTCCAAGAAGCCCTCTGGGTCACCTCATCCCTCGGGTTCACGCAGCGTCCAGAAGCGGTGTCCTAGGGGAAGAGCAGAACGCAGCCCCCCAGCCCTCCAGCGGCTTCCGCATCCATCCCGCAGCCTCTACCATTCCTGCAATCCAGACTAAGAAGGAACCCGAGAAGTAAGCCTTGAAGGCTTCCATGCCCACTCCGGTCCCGCTGGGGCAGGGAAGAGGTGGCGGCAGCCTTTCATGGGGGCAGTGTAAGGCTTTAACTGTATGCTTTCCTTTCTCCCGCTATCGCAGCAATCAAAGCTATTTTCTAGGGGAAACTAAAGGAAGAAAGCAAGAGGGCCATTTCCGGATTATTGAAGGTGTAGTGTTCTGGGATTAGAAAATGTGACAATTTAAGGTGCTGGTTTTAAACCCAGGACCTCATAAATGCAAAGTACTGCTCTACCACTGAACTACACCCACCACCGCGCAGATTCCTGTTTGGGCTGTGTTAAACGATTATGAGGCCTATTTGTTACATTCTTTGGAAAGCTCTTGTTTTCTTTCTCCATCACCTTTGTGTAGGTTGTTTTGTTCTGTTTCAGATGTACTCTAAGGATAACTATGTGGTGCCTTTCTCCCAGCTGTTGGCAGCCATGGCCTTAGGAAGTCCCTCCACTGATGTCCTGGGTACACCATGTAGATCATGTTTCTTATATCCTGTGCAATTGTTTTTCTAAGTTGCATACCTTGAGCATTGTTTTCATGGTGGCAAGTTCAGAAGAAAAAA